CATGAAAACCTGGAGCCCTTTCTTGCTGGCAGTGTGTCTTGCCTTATCTAATGTCTCTGCCTGTTTTTGTTCTACCAGCCTGGTCCCATCTGTCTTGTTGCTCTTCCAGGCCAGCCTTATCTCCTCCCCTGGACTGTGGGTACCCTGGAGCCCCCGGCCTAGTTGGGGATGGTGGTGGCACAGTGCATAATGGCCTGAAGTCAAGTACGTGGTTCTGAGAGAACCAAGAACTCCCCTTGATGGAGTACTCACCATGCCTCGAGGTGGAGGTGCATTCCCTTAGTGATCTCCAGGGAGGGCACATCATTTGACAAAACCACACAGGTTACAGCAGGGGTGGAGCCTAGAAGCAAAGACAGGGTTCTCTGAAGAGTCTTCAGGTGTCCCTTGTAGGAGGCCAGGGAGCGGGTGATGGAAGGAGGCAGGTTGTGGGCTTGGGGCTTTCACCACTTTCTAGCCAGAATGGCTTCCACTTGTCCTGTGATTCCATTGCAAGAAACAAAACAGAAAATGCTTGGAGGACTACTTGGTGCAGAAACCATAGCTGGCCCTCTCCTTTTGCACAAGTGCTCTCATTTTCCCTAGTAAAGCCACTTTAAATTCTTACATAGGATTTGCCGTTGATTAGTCGACAGATAAGCCCTAAAGAAGCATCAGATGAACCAACTTTTTGTGTCAAAGTTAGCAATAGTGAAAAGACAACACTTTACTCTGATGCACTTGACTGGCATGTTTTCCCCACCAACCCTGGGGGGTGGTCCCTGGGGGAAAAGGGGGCCTGTGTGCCTCTATTCAGAGCACTGGCAGGCCTGGCCTGGGGGCTTCAGGGAGAGAGAAACTCACAAAAGTGGCGGCAGCATTGCAGGTACCCCCCAGTTTAAAACAGACAAACAATTGACACATTCACTTTGAAGGAGAGCAGTTCCAAACTGAAATTACTGACATTAAGATACATGTTTTCTTGGAGAGAAACATCCATGCAGAATCCCCGACCAGGGATTGAACCTGCATCCCCTGCAGTGTAAGGGCACTGGACCACCAGGGAAGGTCTGTCAGTTTCTTTTAAAGTACATGGTCACTTCTTATTTGTGCGTGTGTTTAATAAGCCTTTAATGCTTGGCTAAGAGGCTGGAGTTCAGGCAGAGAGAAACTTCCAGCGTTGGAAGCTCTGCCTTTTGAGAATCTGTTAGAAATGGAGAAAAAAAACATCCCAGTAGTCAGAATCTGTGAGGAAAACAGGATTGCAGCCTCCACAGCTCTTGGGCCGGGTCCCCAGTTTCCTGGGTGAGGTGTCCGAAGCCAGGGGTCTTTCCCTGGACCTTGATGCCTCCTGACATTGGTCATCCCACGACGACTTTGAAAGGAAACTCCAGAGTTTCTGCATCCAGGTGCCATTCTTGCAAGATGCTTTATCGGTACAGTCAAGCTCTTTCGGCCGAGTTGGAAATACCGCTGATTAGAGTCCGTGGGTTTGCTGCCAACTTCCATCACCTGGGACTTGGGTCTGCAGTTGTTTCTGCAGAACAGTTCTGAGTAGTTCAGAAGGAACTACTGCCCTCCCCGGCCCTCCCGTGGGAAAGGTGGGGCTTGACTGAGAGTGGTGTTTTAGGCGACCAGCTATCTCCTCGTTGTTCACAAGCCCCAAGACTGGCCCATGTGCAGCACGTTGTGTAAGAAACAGCTGTTGTTTTGACAAAGGACGCGCTTGCCTCACTTTCTGAATCACCAGTGTGAGTCAGGGGGTCGTCTATTCCAGGACTCTGCCCCTGGGCAGGTGGACACAGAGATCATGCACGCTCATGTATGGGACACAGCATGTAAAATGTGTGCCTGTAACTACATGTGTGCATTTTTTTCACATTAGCAGTTTTGAAATATATATATATATATATATATATATAATTAATATGTATTGCAGTTTTTCCAATCAGGTAATTTGTGCATGTGGCAAAATAGCCGAAAGATACATGAAGAGCAGTTGCCTTCTTCCCTTGGCCTCTCAGAGCCAAGCACAGTTTCAGGTTTATCTTTCTAGAGACCATTGAAGCGTATGTGACCATGTGTGTACATACTCTTTTAAACAATGTGGCACTGTTTTGCACTTTGGTTTTTTTTTTTTTTGGCTTCAATTTATTTTTTGAGGGGGGTGGTGGGCTGCATCAGGTCTTAGTTGTGTCATGTGGAATCTTTTGTTGTGATGCACAGACCCTCTAGTTGTGGCACACAGACTCTCTAGCTGTGGTGCACACACTCTCTAGCTGTGGCATACCAGAGCATGCAGGCTCAGTAATTGCTCTGAAGCACATGGGATCTTAGTCCCCTGACCAGGGACTGAACCCTCATCCCCTGCATTGCATGGCGAATTCTTAACCACTGGACCACCAGGGAAGTTCCTGCTTCAGTATATCTCAAATATCATTCCACCTTATATAGTACATATAGGAATTTTTTTCTTTTTTTTTTTTTTTTGGTTCTTTGTGAATTTTGAATGCCTTTCAGACGTGGAGACTCTCTGTGCTCCTTGCGACATGTGACCAGCGACTCAGGGGCTGAGGGTTCTATATTTCAGGCCTCCACCCCCACCTCCCCGAAACATTAAATTCCCTTGATAATGCAACCTTATGTGTAGATAGTAAAACAGTGTTTGGCTTAGGTTGACTAGCCGTCTCCTGTTTGCATTGTCCCCAGAGCCTTCTTAGAAAGCCTTGATGTCACCCGGGGGGCTTAGGGATCGAGAGCCTTGAACCTGAGCTGCCAAGCCCCGCAGCAGTGGAGGCTCGGGCCCTCCTGCTTGTTGTGACAGTCTGTTTCCGTGGTGGCAGGTGGCCACCCTGGGTGCAATTTGGAGAGCCTGGTTGGTTTTTCACATTGGCCTGCTTGTGTCTGCACGTGTGGGGAAGGGGTGTGGGCTCCCTCCCCCAAGCATGGCCACCTGCCAGCAGCAGGCCACCTCAGGTGCCCTGGCCTTGCCATCCCACGATAGGGGTGTGTTAATCTGCCTTCCGTCGAGTGACTGTTGCCAGGCTCAGCCTTCCTGAGGGGCACATCGGGGACCGAGGGGCCCAGAGGGACCCCCAGACCATGTGTTCTTCTACTTGCGCAAGGGAAGAGCACAGTAGAAGATGGGAAGGCAGGGTCGGATCTGGGATCTCATAGTCACCCATGAGCCCCCGGCACCCAGTGCCTGGCGGCAGAAATCACCAGACGTCCTCCGCCTAGATGACAGCCCCTTCTCAGGAAGCAGGGTCTCTACTGAAGGCGCTTTGTTTTTCTCTTAAGTTTTCTGCATCTGTGTGTGATTGGAACCAAACATCAACTTTACTTTTTTTGTCATATTTCAATATTGGCCTTTCTTTTCCTCCCCCTTTCTTGAAATCTCCTTTTATAACTTCTGCTGCTGCTGCTTAAATATAGATGTCTTAGTCCTCCTCCTTACCAGATTGTTTATATTTTTGAGAAGCCTTCTGCTTATCTGCGACTGCTCTCTCCTCTGTCTCCATCCCCACGCTGGCACATTGGTTTTGGTTGCTCTTTTCTTCCCCTGCCTTCACTTGACTGGGATGTGTTTCAAATGTGGTCTATCAAAATGTGCAGTGTTTCCCTCTTTTCTGCAGTAGCTTTGACATCTGTTCTTGAAATCGAGCCCACGTTATTCTTTTGGACTTGCTTGCCCAAGATCTGCCGCGATGCCAGAAGCAGGGAAGGAAGGCGGGAGAGAGAGAGAGTGGTGTGGTGGTACCTCCCCCATCTCCTCGTACTGCACCCCCACTTTAAAAACTGCCTGCCATTTCCAAGTTGACAGCACCCTAGATGTTTGTTCCAGCACTCTGCCACCCCGTCTGGCAGCGGCCCACCCCGCAGCAGAACGAATGAAGTGCTCAGCAGCAGGGGCTCACAGACGCCTTCGGTTACTTCCGCCAAAAAGGAAGCCGGGTGGGTGGCGGGCGGGGGAGGAAGGCTCTTGGCTTCCTGGGTGTCTGTGGATGGCTCTTCAGCTTGGTTTTTCCTCACCATCCGTAGTCCTGCTGGGCCTCGGGGCGATGGGCCGGGCCATGGAGAAGCCACTTGGAGCCACTGCTTGATCCTAAGCAGGATGTGTGTCTTTAGCAGCCAAAGCCACCCAGCGCGAAAACGCGCCTCTCAGTGGCTTCGGGAACGTGTCCTCTCACTCCTGCTGTCCGCCCAGGACACCACCCTGGGCCCATCTGCTGCAGCCTTGTTTGACACACAGCCTCTTGGCAACTTGTCCCGGAGCTCCTGAGGCCAGGACACAGGCTCTCTGATGCTCTGAGTTTCGGTTTGTAGTGTGCGACAGAAGTCTTCTCATGGGAGACCCACTCCTGGTGGTTCTCAAGAGTCCCAGGGGCCAGTTAAAGAGTTGGAGGGTAACACTGTTTCCAGCTGCTTCACTTCCCAAGTCTACACAATGCTGCAAGTTGTTATTCTTGGGGCTCGCCTCTTAAGGTCCCTCTTGAGAACGAATAACAGGTCCTAAAACATGCCTATAGTTAACCCACTAAGTATTTGTTAAAAGCAAATCAGATGTGACTGCAGAAGACTCCAGGCCCAGACTGTTGAAGGAGAGTCAGAAAGATGCCCCGAGTCGAGCAGCAGGACTGGGACCTGGGGATGTGGCAGGAAGAGGTGCTTGTTAAGAGCAGGAGCGAGCGACTCTGGGGAGGGATGGCATTTGGGCACTGGCCTGACTGGTTTTAGCAAAGCAGCATGCATCTGCATGTTGTGTTGTAGAAGCCGCCATTTGTGAGGTGTGTGTATGTACACAGCATGTCAAGTTGAGCGGGTTTGGGGCATGGACGGGGTGGTGGGGCTGGATGGGAGCCCAGGCCTCTTTCCGCCGGTCCCCAGTCCCTCCTGAGCCACAAGGCAGTGATCCCTGGCACCACAGGCTCTTCCCCGGTGTCCTGGTCATGTGCAAATACGCTCTCCTCTGTTCAGAGTGTAATTACAATCTGGTCTTCCCTTTTTGTTTCTCTTGACAGAGGGAACTCGATGCCACCGCAACAGTATTGGCAAACCGGCAAGATGAAAGCGAGCAGTCAAGAAAGCGGCTCATCGAGCAGAGCCGTGAGTTCAAGAAGAACACTCCAGAGGTGAGCGGCGTCTCTGTGCTGGGCTCGGGCTTTCTGAAGGAGGGTAGGGTCTTCCTGTCCTAGGGTGCGTTCAGAAGACCAGCTATCTGCTGCTTCCTTTCGGCCGTCCTCAGCCCTAGTGGTGAGCCCCTGTGCGGGCTGGGGACTGGATTAAACCCTAGCTGACTCTTGATGCAGATGCTGAACCAGCTGGGTGGTCAGGTCAGGCCCCCAGCCCCTCTGTGCGCACATCTGCAGGCAGGGTCCTGGAGGGGCGCCTGAAGGCTTCCTGCGTCTGAGGATGCAGTGTGCCGATGATGCTTCTTGCAAAACATTCAGTCCAGTCGGGCCTTTCAGGACCTTCTGTGTTTCCTGAAATAAACTTTAAAGGGCACTGGAAATGTGCTCTTCTTGTGCTCTTTTTTTTGGGAAGTATGTGTTCAGAGGACAGTGTTTAGAGTGGCTCGGGCAGCCTCTTCCTGCCCTGTTTTCTTGGTCCCTCGTTCCCTGAGTCTTTAACAAAGGATTCAGAAGATGAAAAAAAAAAAAAAGGAGAGAGTTTTACAGACAGTCAAGCAGACCTGGGGATTGCTTTCTGGGAGCTTCTGCCAAATGAATCCGCAGTGGTTCTTGTACTGGGGGCTTGCACCCAGCCTCCTGCACCCCCCATGATAGGTGCTCAGAGCTCCAGCCCTGGCTCCCGGGCCCCCCTAGGTTCTTCCAGGGAGGACAAAGGAACAGGCCTGGAGGAAAAGGTGATTTCTGGGAAGGATAGTCTAACTTTCATAATGGTCCCAAAAAAATGATGTGTGACTTGAACTTTTTTTTTTTTTAAGTGGACTCATTTTAAGTGTTTCAAAGGAGCTTGCTATTTAAGAGAGTGTTACCATGAATCATATGGGGAAACAAATAATTAACCCTCAATTTTCAGAATAAATATTTCAGGAGGAAAATGTCTTGGTAGTCCAATGGAAAGAAACAAGGGAGGATTGGCAGGACCACCTAAGGATTTTACGTTTTAGACCCACTGCTTGTTCTGTCTACCCTCCCCCTGCCCTGAGATGTGTGTCTTCAGTGTTGTTTTGGACCAGACACACGGGTCAGTAATTCAAGCCTGGGAGGTTGCCGCCCTCTTTGCTGCTGGGGAGTGCCGGGTGGCAATAGGGAGAAGGGACTGGTGGTCTCCACGTCTCACCTCTTTGTGACAGTAAAGGCAAGAGGGGAGAAAGCCGTTGAGCGACCGGCCACCTTCCTCCTCTCAGACTGCTCAGAGCAGGGCTTCCTGGAGGGTCTCACTGTGGGGTTCCTCATGCTCTGGTCTTTGACTTTGTTTCCCTAGACCCACCCCGGGCAGGTGTGTCTCTCCAGCCACACTCAGCATTAATCAAGCAACTAGCTGTCCCCACTGTCCTGTGTTCTCACTGCCCTTCCCTTGGTGACCATATATCCAGGGTGGTCTTCGGAAACCTGAAAGAGAAGGGCAAGGTCATGTTTCCGAGGCCTCAGTCACCAGTAGGTAGATATAATCCATCCTACGATGAAGTGCCTCAAAGAGAACTAGATTCCTGGGTGATCCTCTCAAGTCCCAGGGTCCCGCCAGCTGAAGGTGGTGCCCACTGAGGAAGGGTGTGTCCCCCTCCAGCCACCTCGGGCCCAGCACTTGCTTAATAAATGTTGACTGGACTGAATGGGCCCCGTCCCTCCACTGGCATATAAACAGGCCTCATCCTGCAGGGACCGGCTGCTGGCTCCCTTGGCTTAGATTAAATTCCACGCCAGTAACTGGCCTCAAACTTTGCATTTTATCTCCTAATCCCTCCCAGTAAATAGGAGAGGCTTGGGGTGGAGCAGCCTGGTGGGGAAAAGCTGTCTGGGGCATTGCCTTCCAGTGCATGTTTTGTTTGTTTGTATATTCTTGATCTTTTTTTAATTTGTTTTTATTTTTATTGAGCTGTAGGATATAAGTTGGGAAACATCTCTGCATGTTATGTCAGGGCATGGTTTTAGACAGTCTTCCGCGGAGAGGGGGATGCAGAATGCCTCCTGGAAGGGAGGGACACTGCCGTCCTGCATGTCCCCGGCTCTGCCAGGTTATCCAGCTGGTGCTCACTCGGGCTTCTCCCGTTAGGATAAGGAGACCTCGCTGTAGCACAGATTACCAGGACTGTGGAAGACGGCCGTGCAGAGTCTTCTGTAGATTTGGAAACCTCTTAGGGCTGCAGTGCAGGGTGGGGGTGGGTAACTTCGGCGAGGAGTACACAGAGAGGGATCCTTGGGGATTCTATGGTGTGAGGGGTGTGGAGGCACGTGGAGGGCTCTGATGAGCGTGAGGCCTAGGACCCAGATCAGACGGTGGGTCGTCAGCTTGTCTGGGGCTTCAGTGTAGAAGAGCCTGACTTGTCTCCGACATCAGTTATTTCTTCTGATTATTCAGCAACAGAGGGCAGATTAACACTTACTGTTGAGGGAATACTTCTAGAACTCAGATGTGTGAAGATGAAGGTTGCTTAGAGCTTTATTCTCAGGAGTTAAAAAAAAAAAATGTTGGTTTGTTGATAGGGAGGGCATCTGTGGGTTTGGACACAGACCAATATCCTCACGCCTCACATAATCAGCCGAGGGGGGACTGGCCACCGGGGCAGAGCCAGGGCCAGTGATCTTGCCGGACTTTCACCAAGTGGATTGATTCTTGGTGAAAACCTTGATGTTCCTCTTTGTTCCAGGAAAGCAGAAATTGTCATCCCAAGGTCCTTTGAGTGTCTGGGGTCTAACAGGCAGATGCAAGCTCCAGTGGGGAGTCAAGTGAATGAGGTTATCCCCTGGCAGGGAGTTTGTGTTTTCCTGGACTGGTGCTGCACACGGGCAACTGGGAAAGCTCAAGGCCCAGGGTGGGGTTGGGTTGGAGGTGGGGGGCCCGTGGGACAAGCCAGGAGCATGAAGGTGCCATGGAGGCCAGAGCCCTGAAGATTTTTTTGTTGAGCATGAAGTTTTTTCAGTTTCAGTTTTATGTCATTAGATGAATACATTGCTAGTCAATTGATATCATTGCTTCTGTCTTTTTAAACTCAAAATTGTAGTTAATCTGAAGGAGATAACATTACTCTGCATATTAAGTTTCATGCCTTTCTTTGACTCAAAAAAAAGAGCCCCGTTCGAAGAAAAACGTTGTTTTAAATTTGAATTTTGTGACTAAACATCTATTCCCTGTTGAGTTAAGGATTGATAACTGAACGTCCAAGACTGAGGGTATTTCTAGGTTGGATCACTTTCTATATTTATCAGTGCAGGTGACTTACTGGCTGGTGTCATTGGGCAAATGACTTAACCTCCCAAAATCTCAGTTGCATCATCTATAAAAGGTGTAATGGCAGGGCCCAGATCATAGGGGTGTGTGTGTGTGTGTGGTATGGAGTGTGTAGTACATAGATGTGTGTGGTATATATATATTGTGTGTGTGGCATGTAGTGTGTGTGTGCAGAGCTTCACACAGGCCCAGCACCAACAGTTCGGTTCGTGTTTGTTGTGAGCATTAATTTGGAGCACACATTACCAAACACATGAGATGCAGTTGATTTCTGCTCCTCAAAGTCAGCTCCAAGAACTTAAAAAAGAATCCACAACAAATAAAGGTAGTTTTCACCCCAAATGTTCCAAAAGTTGGTTTGTAATAACAGTTAATCACTTTATAAATATTTTCCAGCACCTTCCACGTGCCAGATGGTTTGGCTCTGGGGATAAGATCCTCTCCCTGTTCTTAGAAACTTCCTTATATTCTCACCAAGGAGGTATACCATCCTAATAAGGCACCTTAAGGGTAGCATGGTGTCTGGAATCTTCTAAATGCAGACTTTCCCCCAGAAACACTGAGATCAGTGGGGGTTAGTTCTGAGCCGCCTGTGTCACAGTGATTCTTTCTGTAGGTGAACAAGGTTGCTTTTTGAGGCTTGGTTCTCAACCTTTGAAGCAATGGTGAATGTTAAGGGCCACTGCCCCCCCGTCCCCACCCCGAGAAATGCACATGTTTCCACAGTTTCTCCTGGACCCCCTGAAACTCACTGGGGAGCCCCTGGCTTAGAGCTTGGCTGCAAGGCAGGTGCTGGTTGTCTCAGAGGTCTCAGCCACTGTGCTGGGAGCTCTGTATGTGTCCCCTCTTCATGTTCCTCCTAACTGTGCCCAAGCTGGGGACAAGAGGATGAAAGACGGGGGTGGGGGCCGCATGAGAGATGAATGCCTAGGCTTTGGCTGCTGGTCAGAGGCCACTGTGCTCTGGCCTCTGGGCCGGGTGCTGGAGAAGAAGAAGTGGGTGGAGGAACTGGGCCACCCCCACTGATGAGGGTCCCCGCAGGCTGGCAGCTGGGCCAGGTGCCTCTGTGCTGGTGACACGTTCTTCCTGCCTGAGATTGGTAAAGAGCGTGGCTGGGCTGGAGATGGCTTTCTTGGAGTTCTTGAAGCTTCATGCTGTTAGAACTGTGGGTTCAGTGCAGGCCAAACCCCGTGCCCTTTGCTTTTCTGTTGCTTCCATCTGAGCCGAGGTGCAGGCCAGGATTACCTCTGTTGTCTCTGAGTTGATAAACCTAATGGCAGGTTAGATGACCAGGGATGTGGAAGGCCCTGACCGGAACCCACCTGGAACACCAAGCTGACTTCTTATTCCTGGAAACTGAGTTTCTTCCCATGGTAGTTGGGGACCAAGATAGGGCAACGTCGCTAGGGTTTCATGATTCTACCTAGGAATTGCTTTTTTCCCGTTTTCCCATTTGGTTAAATTTTAAGTTTGCTCCTGGGACCAGCATTTGTTTTGACAAGGATCTTCCCGCTGCTTCTCAGCCAAGCTGGGACTTGAACCCAGGCCACCGGCTCCCCGAGTCAGTGCTTTTGACTGCCGCACCAGGCTGCCTCGCCGAAAGGCAGAGCATCCAGAGCGGTGCTCGCCCACAGAGCCCAGTCACAGGACGTTTTCAGGGGGCGCCATCCCAGCTCACTGGCTGCAGCTGTTTGAACGTGGTGCTCGATTATCAGAA